AATTTAATGAACAAATAAGCACGAATAAGAAAAATGTCGAAAATTTCATTCTATTCATGTTGCATGCTATCAACAGAAAGCAATAGTTTTTGCATTTCAGTTGAATGCAGTATGCATTTCATAACAACGCTTCATGATTTTCATTTAAGCTTAAACATCAGGAAATGTCTCCAACTTCATAGAGAGTAAGATTTCTTTCAGTCCAACTAGACAGAAAATAAATACAAGTTCAAACACTCATCTGGTTATCTAAAGGAAATTCAATGGTACCAAAATAGATGTGGAAAAGGGATGTGGTGTTGCAAATTATAACTGAACATCTTGCCTAAATTTGTTGAAGCTTAATACTTCGTAATTGACGCTCGATTGGAAAAACACGATATGATGGTTAGCCATCGATTGGTTTTACGACAATGGTTATTTTATTATCTGTCCCCTTATACATATTGCTCCTTGCTAATTTGGTATGGTTTATGACGCATTAAACTTATATTTATTCAAAAAGAGCAAAAGGAGGATGGACAAACTTTGGTCAGTTACCGAAGTTATACAATGAATTAAGCTAGCGAAAAATTGCTCTTCAGCACAATTTTAATTTTATTTGCATTAGATGTAATTTTTTACGGTACTCGCGCTAATACAGCCTATTTGTATCTAAGTTCAATATTGAAATACTTGCGAGTTTCTTCCGTTAGCTTCCATCTAAGAGTATGATCTCTAAAACACTGAATTTTTCAGTCATTCGATATATATGCATGGAAAATAATGCGTAGAACGATTTTGTTATTTGAAGAAAAATAACTAAGCTGTGATGTTGAGAAAAAAGTTTTCCCGTTCGCATGCAATTAAGATCACCACAGAACTTATGAGCTAGTTTAAATTTGTTAGGAAATAATGAAGGAATTTTTCATTAGAACGGCAGAGACTCAGAATATTTAATCAGATGACAGACCACTGAGTATTGAAACCTGATTTTTCAGGGAACACTGGAGGAGAATATTTCAATATCAATAACAAAATGAATACTATTCAAGCGAGTGAATAATGGGCATAAATTTCATAAATCTTTACGTAATTCCGTCGCATTAGATTGTAAAGAACGCATCATTTAAGCAAGGAAAATCAATTTCTATTTTACTAATTCCGATGCACAGCCATTTTTTCTGAACTCATTGTATTTTCAATAGAATAAGGATATCCTGATGGAAAAAATTTGGTTATTATTTTCCATTGAGACACCATTAATACTGTATATAATCACTTCACGTTTATGTTGCCGCATCACAGATCAAGCAATGGATACATTTTTAGTCGCAGTTAATTATCACTATTTAATTCACAACGAATTTTTTCAGGTAGGTTTTTTTCAGTGTAGGTGTTTTTCTTCACATTTGAACTACGAAGCAACTATTCAAAGACATAATGGTTTAGAAGGTTTAGAATTTTATTCTTTATGAACGCGAAGAAAACATTTTCAAATGGTAAATTAATGATAAATTAAAACCTTATCTCTTGGTTTGAACGCTATAATTTTATTTGAACACATCACTATTATCAAATTCAGTACAGGTGAACCACTGGCTTAGAGCTCACCTGCTCAGCTAGACTAACTTCAGATGCTTTGCTCATCTTTGGCACTAGTGCTGCTGCTGCTGCAGCTGATGCTGCTGGTGCTGCAGCTGGTGCTGCAGCTGATGCTGCTGGTGCTGCTGGTGCTGCTGGTGCTGCTGTAATTACTATAGCATAGGGATTATTATCCGCTTCGTAACTAAAGACGTGAGCCGTGAGGTCCACGGGGAAAACGGACATCCTCACACAAACACGCACAACGGATAAAGAAAACACACCCTTACGAAACAGATATACAACACAACAACTTTAGATAGGACATTGTGAAGACCTCCACACCTAGAGATACTTCAGTACGACACATGCGGATCTACAGAGCAGTGAGCTCTGTGTAAAGTTCTTCATTTATGGATGCAGTTTAATGCGCAGTGCTACTGTAGATTAACCTTTTTTAAGCATCATCACTCCCTCAACGTGTAGAACCTGACACTTGCACCGTAAGAACTCTTGCAAAAAATTGGAAGCCCTGTCATTGTAGTAAAAATTCAGCTATAATTAATAAGCTCATCCACGTGACACCAAGCCTGACCTACTTATCACTAATCGTAAATGATACCCAAATCTGTCATTTCCAGGCATACCCAAAGATGTGCCTGGGCATATTTTCCAGGAATAAAATAATGGAATGGGCAAGAAATAATGGGCATATTTTCCAGGAATAATTTCCAGGGTAAATGGTACCTAAATCTTCTTTTGGCATTTATTTGCGCAGATTAGGGGCTTCGATTTTTCTGGTGGACAGCATGCATGTGCTCCTGAATAAATTGCTCAACATTGAATTGGCCTAATTTGTTCTCACCCTGGTGTGAGCCAGGGCAAGTTCTACAGTTGACATTCCATGTTGATGTATAGAAATAACGAAGTTCAAAGTATCTGTTTACTACATTCAATAAGGTGTTCATAGCGGCAACACAAATGTGACAACACATATAGCGACAATATACTTATATTGTACTTCGATATTAAATTTCAAATTTATATAGAAGAATATATTCTGCCTCCCTACACTATTATATATAACAATGTGTAGTTATTTCATGGCTTACTTCAATTATAGCATTTCTTCATTTAATTTTGTCGATCTTTATTAAATTCCATAGGTCTTACTGACATATCATTTAGATCACTTGAAATCAGTATAGATTACCATCAAAATTAAATTTTTATTGTTGTTAATATTATCATTATTAATATTATTATTATTTATTATTATTGTTATTATTATTATTATTATTATTATTAGTAGTAGTAGTAGTAGTAGTATTCTTATTATTAATAATATTTTTATTATTATTAAAATTATTATTATTGTTATTATAATGATTGTTATACTCGTATATGATCTTACTGTATTTTTTCATTATTTTCAATTGTTTTCTGGGTGTGAAAGGCTCAAAATCAATGGTAACAAATGTCATTGCGTTGCGTTTTATTATGTTTTGTTGTGGGCCTCCCGCAGCCGTGGCGAAGCGTCAAGCGCTTCTTTAGCCACACGCTCTCCCGTCTTCGATATCGTGGCCGCGATTGCCAGAGCAATCTTTACATCCACACTACGTATGTGTTTTACGACATCAGGTCACTGTGCCATTGGGTCACACAGGGGATTTAAATATAAAACTTCAGGTAACAAGTAATAAATATAAAAATAAATAAATATTTCAGGTAATAAATGAATAATGTAATAAATACTAAATTATAGATAAATAATTACTTCAGGTAACAGGTAATAAATATAAAACTTCAAGTCCCTAAAGCCGTATATAGGTAATTTTAACATCAGCTTTGGAATAACATGAACCTTTTCTGCAATATATCCTAATTTATTTAATTATTAAGCTGCTAAATTATGTCATTTGTTATTCTAATAGAGTTTCTTTGGTAACAGTGTATTTTGTTACCAACTATTGGTTGTTTCATCGCTGTTATCTAAATGAAGATTGTTAGTTTTATGATACATATATAACTTAGAGCTTTTCGAGAGCTGAGTAGTACGCTGGGCTACGGTACTAATTTCTTCTTTCTCAGTCAAGCTTAAATATTTGCATATATTTATCCTTGTCCATTCTTCATTTCTGCTTCAATTTTCTAAATAAAAACTTTTTTCATTCTGCCCAATCAGTATATTTCTACAAAATTAATAACATTCATTTTCTAGGTGAATACTATTTTTTCGTTTATGAAACCTCACTTGGATATTCTGTGACTTTTGTAACATGAATACCACCAAATTTTATCTCGTCTTTCGAAAATTGTGTGCTCAGGATTCCTCTTCATTTACCTTCCTTCCAGCTACGCCGGTTTAACCTGCTGGATTAACCTGCCGCAATAACTCTTCTGCTTAACCCTTCCAAATATCACACACAACTTCTTGAGCGTCGATTTTCTACCTTTCTAGTGAAAAGTATTAAATAAAGATTTAGAGTACAATATGTACACGACTGACAACAGGTAGGCCTAGAACTATAGCTAAAACTATATTCGATTCCACGACATCATTCGACTAGCGACAGCTGAAGCCCAAATCATCATAAATCAGAGCATAGCTATGAACCTCATAACTACTGATTTTCTGAGGATTTTTAAATTATTTTTAAATTAATTTTAAATTTGTATTTTTCGCATTGCATCCATTTTACCTAATTTTTGTACATATATGTCGATTGAAAATTCAGTTTAAACTTTGTGCAACTTGATAATAAATACTGTTATATTCAAACGACGTTCATTTATTAAAATATTTGGAAATCTATTTTTTATCTGCCAATACCATTGTACACATTGAGAAACTATACATAGCAAGGAATTAAACAAAACATTGAAATTCACTCATGAAAAATGTATCAAAATAAATTATTCATTTCCACATTGTAGAATCATGAATAACGATAACATAGCTACATTTTATTTCATTGCCGTCTCCTTCGAACGAGACCGAAAGTTCGGCACAAAACTGACGCAACGTCAAATCTGTAATTGGACACGGTGATGCTTCGCCGAAGAACTGACCTGTTATCGGCACAAGAGTGAACGGATCATGCTTATAAAACTGAGATGTGTATTCCACTCATTGAGAAACTAGCAAGAAACAAAAACAAAACATTTAAATTTATTCATGAACAATATATTAAAATCAATTGATTATTTCCATATTGTAGAACCATGAATAATAATAACATAGATACATTTTATTTCATTGCCGTCTCCTTCGAACGAGACCGAAAGTTCGGCACAAAACTGACGCAACGTCAAATCTGTAATTGGACACGGTGATGCCTAGCCGAAAAGCTGACCTGTTATCGACACAAGAGTGAACGGATCATGCTTATAAAACTGAGATGTGTTCGTCTCGACTTCACTAACGTTCTCACTGTCATAGCATCGAAACCTCAGCATCCAAAGACCTATTCTAAATATCTTACATTCGATTCTAGTGAAAACGAGTAAAGTGAACATGAAGTATTCCGTCTCTATCGTGATGATGGCAGTTATATGTAAGTTTTTTGCTGTAGTTCATAGCATGCAAGAACAAGGAATTTGATGATAGGGCCTTATGGAAGACTTTAAACTTCATTAATTATCTGCACTAATGCAAGTGTTTGAATGCGAGTACATTCTAACTGTGTATCGGCAACTTATTTGAGGAGGCTTAATTAAATCTAAATACTCGTATGTCAGCAAAATTTTGCATCGATTGTTTGTGGTAGGAACCTCAATTATTTAATCAATCCAAGCAGCATATGAATGTCCAATTGAGTACAGGTAAAACCAATATTGAATAATAACTTAGAACTAAAATGTTCTAAATTATTATTATAAACTAACCAGCCTCGAATTTTGGGTGACAGAAACAAGTCCGCCACCGCCGTATGAATCAGATGCCCCGGCCTTTGACAGGTCTTTTTAGCTCATGTCTTAGCCTAACATCACATACTGCAAAAAATATAATAATTAATAATAACGCGTCTTTGCAGGCCACAACCTGGGCAACGTCCATGCTGTCGACAACCCTAGGGTGAGTAAATTCTGCTGTCTATATTTAACCATCGAATTTATGTCCAGATTAAAATAATTAACCCAATTTAATCCGTTAGTAACAACGGAGACTTTTTTCATTTCAATGATGCTTAGATACAGTATACCTTGCCTTAATGGAGAGTTCATTTTTAGTTCTAAATTATTAACTCATTAGCATTTTGAAATAGCAATCTACTAAGTTAAATAATTGCTCCATATTATGAACACGAACGAATAATATATGTTTTGCCGCCCGGAGTAACTATTTTCCGAGCATGGATTTTCCCTTGCGTTCTGCAAAGTATTAATGATTAGTATTATCATTTGCTATTTTTCTTAATGCATTCCGATTTATTTCAATTCAAACAAATCGTATCAGTGTTTATTTCCACACATTTTTAAATGTTTTTAATATTATTGGTCCTGATATAGAAGAAGTAATTTTATTATTTAGAAGAAAAATTACTATTCATAATGGTAGAAAATTTTTTATCTATCTACCGGACGAATTAAAAATCACTTTCTTCACACGTGTTTAGGGAAATTAAATTCTCGTCTATATACTTTTCACTAGAAATAATTTGAATTTGAATGTGATGTTGTAGGTTTTCATTTAGAGTAAAGTCTTATTATTAAGTGTTAAAAGTTCATCCAGTGTTAAGTTTGATATAGTAATTGAAATATTTTAGTATCACGCAGTTATAAGTCTCATCCTGTATTATTTTCACACGATGTGCTCATTTCACCTGACCCATTGTTATTACCCATCGATTGACGCCTGATGGACACCGGACATTATCATACAACTCTGCTGATGTAGATTATGCAAAACATTTGTGTGTTAGCTGCTTCAGTATTTAGTCTGTTCGACTATTCAGGTTTCAAAAACTTCATACTGTCAGGAACCTGAAATAATAACCAAAAGTTTAAATCCACTGACCTATTTCGCCAAGCAAATCTAAGTTAATATCAAATTTGAGCGCGTATGGAACGTCACTTTAAATGTGATTTTTTTATTCCAATATATTATGAATCATTTATTGAGAATTTATAATCTTATCACTTTTCTCTTAAAATTTACTGTTTCTCTGCCAATTTCTCCATATTACTTATTTTTTCCAGTTTATCACCCCCACTGAGCCGATTTTTTTAGCACCATCAAGGTCTACAAAGCATCGGTCAAAATTATTTCTTCGACCACAGGTTACACCGGCATTGCCTTGTATTGCCTGGTAATACAAATGCTTCATTATTCTTGCCGCAGGTCCCTCGGAGTTACGGGGCTCCACAGCTGCCGCCGTCCCATCTTTTCGCGCTGCCGAGCTTCGCAGCGGCGCTCGCGCGGGACTCGGCCGCGTCTCTGGTGGCCAACAAGCAGGCGGCCGCCGCTAACTCGGCCGCGCAGGTTAGATTGGCAATTCTAAACTTCGCAAGCAAATAAAATGTTGTTCTTGACGTAACATCACATTATATTCGTGACATGAAGCCTATCTGTTAAACTGTAATTGTTAAAAATTATTAGTTGGGTCATTACTACTGACGGTCGCGCTCATAATACCTTACAACTGGCGGCACGATTTCTTTTCATTCCTCTTACTAATCTTTCTTTTTGATGGCAATTTATTTACTAAATATTTTTGATGGCATTTTATTTAATCCTCTTACTAATCTTTCTTCTTGAAAAGTTCAAGTTGCGATAATATCCACAACAGGTCGCGTTGGCAACCCAAGCCCACAAGCAGGTGAAGATCGCGGCAGTGAACAAGGCTGCGCAAGAAGCCCAGGACCGCGCTGTTGCCGAAGCCTCGTTGGCAGCTGAAGCGGCCAAAGCAGCCCACGCGGCCGAGAAAGCCTACACCAAAGCGGTCGAGATGGCCAAGAATCTGTCCAAGCTAGCTGCGGACTCACAAGCTGGCGTGACGGATGCATGGCAGGCTATGCAGACCACCAAGAATGTCGCGAGTGGACAAGAAGCGATGGCTTTCAAGGCCCAGCAAGCAGCCAACTCTCTGGCCAGACAGCAGGCCAGGACCCTGAGTGAGCTAGACTCTGCCCAGGACGCGGTGGTGCTTGCGAAGCTCGCAGCCAGCAAGGCAGCTGCGGCCGCTGGTACCATTTACTGAGGGCCATTTTAAATTTACCCTAGGGATACATGGTTGGGTGGAAAAATTAGTACTACTGAAAAATCATTGGCAATACTTCTTTTTATGTTCATTTCCAAACGATGGTGAAGCGTCTACTAGCTCCTGGAATGCTGTCTAGACCAAATTTGCTCAGTGCCAACATGCTACTTTATGAGAAACTATTCCCCCTGATTTCAGTTAATGCAAATAGAATTAACAAAAAAAGTTACATTTTCAGTCTTGTGAACCTTCTAACTTCAGCTAGTTATTTTAAGGAACGCGTTGATAATAAACATTGCAATCGAAACCAAGGGAAATAGTGACCTAAGAACTATTTTTAGACTACTTAGGAAAAACAAATAGGTTTCTTTAAGAACGATTTATTTTATATAGTCTTTCGTTATAGACAGTTATCAAAATCAGCTATAAAATTTTCGCATGTACTTCACATTCTTCGAGTGTCACGAACTTCAAAGTCAATTCTCGCGAAATGATATTTGTGTTACCTATCTATAATGATTATCTGCATTAAAGGTCGATATTGAAATACTAAATGCACTTTATAATTAAGTGAAACTCTGCAGAAAATTGTATTATGTTCCTTTTATTGAGTTCAAATCATCTGGTACCAATGAGGTATTTTCTATTTCATCACTGCTCGTTCTGACAATAACTATGATTTATCAACATGATCTTGAAGTAATTATATAATGTTCCGTTTTGAAATAAAATGTTTGGATTATATTTTTTACTTTCTATTCCTAATCCATCGTTTCTGTTCTTTAGGGACCTCATGAAAATTTATACTCAATCTCAATCATATTTTTCCGCAGTATAAGATTTTATTTTATTAGTGAAATTTGAAAATGGAACCTTGCTGCCTACTTTGCTGTTTAAATTGAATTTTTTCAAAGTCTTTCTATTTGATTTTTTTAATAAGCACCATTGGTTTATGACCTGCGATAGCAAGTTATAAACCATCCAGCACCTCTTGCGATAGCAAGTCATAGCATTACTTTATGATAGCAGTTTTCACAAGTCAATTTGATTTCTCTTTTAATTGTTTTCTTCTCAAACTTGTCTGTATTAAGACAAATGCTGAAATTTTTAACCATCATAAAAGCACCTCTGATGCTTTTTTCTATTACTTTTTGAGAATCAATCGAATTGTAAGATTTTTAGTAAGGATGAAAAAGATGATGTATTGCAGCAATTTATTGATATGCTTGCCTAGCACTCGCAAATTCAAGGAATGTCCAAGATTTGCTTCATCACTCCGGAGACTGAGCTTTTGTGTATTTTAACCTTTGAGAATTGGTGATCATTATAAAGTACATGCTATAAAATCAACCAAAGACCAAAAGCACAGAAGTACAGTTTAGTGCATGCCATAAACCTATTATCTTGACATAGGTTGTTAATTCCATTACTTGCATTAATGTGCATACAGAGCGTTACAGAACAAACTTAGCCTCCTAGTATTAAAACATATTCAAGTCAACCGTCTGAACTTGAGACTCAGATACACGACCTGACGCCCGTTGTTCTAACTCCCTTAAAATTAATCAAACATGCTAAGTCTAAGTTATTATCGGACCGTTCGATGATCGTGTCGTTGATTCGTATGAAGTAATGGTCACACAGAAGTGAGGCGTTTCAATCAATTTTTATCGGATTGACAAACTTTCAAAATAATCCATCTTTTTCACGTGCTCAATCCAGCCTATTTTTCTGCGTGACCGAAACACGTTCGAGTTAGCGACCGTAACCGCCGTGGCCTCCGCCACCGCCGTATGTGCCAGATCCCTTGGCCTTTGACAGGGCCTTGCTGGCGGCAGCCTGGGCTTGCGCGGCCGCAGCCTGGGCGGACTGCAGGTCGTTGAGCGCCACCGTCTGCTGCTGGTTCAGTGCGTTGGCTGCCTGCTGGGCTTGCCATGCCATCGTCCGTTGAGCTGCTTGCACAGCCTGGATGGCCTGCAGTTCTTGCCAAGCGGCTGCTGCCACACCTTGGGCCTCACCAAGGGCTTGAGAGAGCTGATCGACGAGGTTCTGCGCGCCGTTGAAAGTGTTTTCTGCGGCAGTGGCAGCGTTGCTTGTCTGCCCGGCCAGTGAAGACTCGGCGAAGGCTGCCGCCTGTGCTCCTTGAGAAGCCTGTGTGATCTGTGCAACCTGGGCCTGCTTTTGCGCAGCCGCTGCCTGCGCGGTTTGGGATGCAGCAGAGGCAATTGCAGCTGAATGTGCAGCTGCAGCTGAAGCAGCTGCATGAGCAGCTCCTTTCAAACCGGCAGCTGCTGCGGTGGCCTGAGCGGCGGCTTGGTTGGCTATGGCAGCGCCGCTGGGGCCGTGACCGCCACCACCACCGCCGGCACCAATGATGAGGTATCCACCACCACCTCCAGAACCTCCACCACCGTATCCACCACCACCGCCGTATCCGCCACCACCGCCATAGCCACCACCACCGCCACCGAAGAAACCTCGCTTTGCCTAGACAATTAGAGACATAGTCACATTACAGGCACATATGCTTGGCAGATTTTTAACCGTACCTAGTAAAGGCGATAATTTTTCCGTTACTATATTATGATAATTTACATTTTAGGTTATAAATTATAAGGTTTCAATAATCATTTTTTAATAGTAACTCGCAACAAAAAATAACCAGGACGGTAAGGAATAAACGAACGGTAAGGAATCGACAATAGATCGTTTGAACTACAAAACAAATGCCAGAAAACCTCACAGATCACCGAAACCATGTGACCAAACTAAGTAGTTTACGTGAAGTAGTTTATCTGACAAATTTTTGATTTTAAAAATCGTTGAGAAATTTGTTAAATTTTTTCCTTGAATTCCGTGTTTTGGTTCATTCATTCGTCATTAATCAAAAAAAAGAATGCAAGTCAAATTTTATATTGCTTACCGATTCGCATTGAAGATGGGATCATGCAAAATTTTTCGCTCAAATTATGGAAATTAAGACATAGAGTTTATATCATAGAATTCACAAAAATTGCATGCTCTAAGAATAATTTCTGCGTATATTTGTGGGAAAATTATTCAGGATTTTGCATAATGTATGTTTTATGACGGTAATCTAAAATGGAATGAAATTATTATTCTCATCCGTGAAAAAGTATGACATGCAAATAGATTTTTTGCAAGCCTTTCAGATTGTGTAAACTCACCCTGACAGCATCCTCGGAGGTTTCTGTGGCGTAGGCCAAGCCTGCATGGAAAGTAAAATAATTATTTTATTGATATGAACATAAATTATTGCGTAAGCCGTTCAATTCTAGCGGTATTTCAATATTCGTCCATGTCATGGAATTTGTGAAAGACGGAGTTGAACTATATGAATGGTCAAGATACTTGGACAAGAAGTTTTGTCACTGTGAATACTAATCACTGAGCCAAGATCAAAAATATCTGGAAAATATTATCCAGGTATTTCTATTTTTTCAATATCAAAATATGCTGTGGCATCCAATATTTCACCTGAAATTCTAACTTGTGCGACTAAAGGGAATTTAGTTAGTTGAATGTAGCTATCAAAAAATAGTTTTTAAGCGTGATCAAAGGAGGTGAATTAAAAATAATGTAAAAAGCTGATTAAAATGAAAAATAGTATCACAATTGGACAGTAAAAATTAGTTTTTCTCTGCGACAGGAATGTGGAAATGGGTTCTTCATGTATCGATAGCGTGACAGATAGGATTTGCCCTAAATTACTGTAATGAAATTTTGAACCGGCAATTTGGCAATGAGTAAATTTGCTCCATAGATACCACTTTACGGTATAAATAGGACTATGTCAAAAGTCATCGTATTGATGATATGTGGTGTGCGGCTCAGTTCTCACCAAGCAAGGCAGCCACAATGGCGAACTGAACAGATGATCTCATGTTGTCGGATGGCGGTGCGCTCTCGAACTGACTTCTGCACACGATTCCAGAACTTTTATAGCCTGGTAATTTCTGCTCTAATTAAAATAATACACGTGTTCGTTGAGTAAGTCAAAACAGCAGAGAATCAAAAAAAGTGTTAGTCAAACAATTAGCTATGAGAACATTCAAGTCTTTGGAATAACTTCGTCCAGTTGCCGCTCCACTTTTCTTTGTGAAGCCTCGCCAAGGGTGGGAGAGGCGGTCGGTGTCATTGATAGCTATTTGTGCTATGGCGAAGCCTTAGAAATGCAAATGAGAAACTTGGAACAGTAAGTTCCGTTGTGATATACACGATGACTGTGCGCTAATAGCTCTGTAAATGAGGGATTGCATAAGCCAAGATATTTCGAGCACCGAAAGAGACTTGAGGCAAATTGTTGCAACCGATAAATTATTTTTAATATGGTTCAAAAATATTGCATGTAAGTTCCAATCTTGCACATGATGTTCTGTCAAATGGAAATGCATCACGTCTGGCTACAGGACTTGTGAACTGGATCAAAGTTTTCGGTGAAAGTGTCATCGCTGCCTTTAGGTTTTCAACAAAAATGTATCGTATCCTAATGTCTTAACCACATCGATCATTGGATGAGTTTTTTTAAAACAGTAACCCCCCAAGTTCACCGCTCACAAACTCTCTTCACCAGAACTTGTTGCACGACTGACACAACTAGGATTGACCTAATTCCTCAACAAAATTTAGATGCGGCCCGACTCTGCAATAGGTGCCGCCTAGGACTCGGGGAGCGTGTAAATCAAACGCGTTATGTCCGCTTCAGTTCTGGGTTTGAAGGGCAGTGTCTAGGCAGCATTCGAGCTCGGTTTTACAAATTTCAGCCAGCTTTTCTCATGTTCTCAAGCGATTGTAAAGGAAAGGGAAAGAAGCGAAAGGAAGATTGTAAAGGAAAGGGAGGAAATCCTGAACATAAGCTGATTTCAATCGGATGGCAATGCAGACCCAGCAAAACTATTAGTCGTGTGTATAAGCATATTATCATGCAGAAGCATGATTACATTTGTTCAACATTTTGTTCCGCATCTTCGAGAATCAGATAGGAAATCATTTGGCTCGTAGAACGAATTCTGAGGTTATTCGAGGATTTAATTTTTTGGCGAAAATAGTACTTAAACTGTGGCTTTTTGAGGGTCGTGTATTATCATCGTTGGCCAGCCCACATCTTCGCAATCAAAGAAGTCAACCTCTTTTGAGATTATTCGCTGCAAATGAACTCAGCGTTCATAATATCGATATCAATTTTTAATTAATATTCTGGATACCCTTAAATTGTTTTTTCGTATTCTATATGAAACTCGTTCATCAGCTCATATATATCATCATCGTGTTCGCGCACCACCATTATAGGTAGGTTCTTTGGATCGTAAAGGTACTCGACAATCAACAAAGTTGATCGTAAAAATGATGTGTATTCGCATCAAAGATCAAATGTTTGATGCAACATAAACAATATTTTGTACAAACCGTGACGTGTTTTTGTCCATTTGTGCAATGCTTGCGTCAAATAAACTAAAAATAAATCTAACAGACTGCCTAAAAACACGATTTTTCGTCATGCATTTATTGTCATGCATTTGACAGTTGGCTTACCTCAGCTTCAGTGTACAAATTTTTGAACTCTTAGCATCTATTCATTTGAGAATGTTTATTCTGACCACAGGTATATAATTCAATCATTTCTGAATTCAGATTTCTATGATGTATCACGCAACATCAAACAATTCAACTGCTGATCATTGCGAAACCCGAACGTAACCATGTTCAGTATTTCGGCTCCCGCTAACAGCCATTGAAGTTTCAAGGGCGTGAGAGTGATGCAAGAATTAGGAACTATCACCGCCTTTCTTTGCCTCCACTAAGACTAGAATTGATAGCGACTCCCACGAAACGTATGACTCATCAAAACGTTCAGCAACTCATGACCTTTTATTTTAATTGCACGTGGCAGTTTGCTTGTTTCGCTCACTCCGAAGACGTATAAATACTTGCGGAGAAAAGATCTTGTCACATCAGCACCCCGCTTCCTCCGGTGAAAAGCTCACTGCTTCTTCTCGGAGTTCCAGAATTCCATCGAATCTTGAACCGCAACTCGATACGATGGCAACGAAAATTGTAGCATTCGCTTTTCTATGCGTTGGTAAGAATAAGCTGCGATGAAACAAAATTGTCCGATCCTCTCTATATGAACTGGGTGGACTTAGAACAAGGCTGCTCGGATGTCATAATCATATATATTTTTTAATCGCCCAAGAGGAATTTAGTTAAATTAATAGGAAAGAAAATAAATTAAATTAATTAATTAATTATTTAGGAAAGAAAATTAATTTTCTTTCCTAATGATTACTGAATATGTTACTATATTATCATGTTCCAAATGTTTTGAGCTAACAACTCGCATTTTTCTTGGTTTCAGGAGTGGTTCTCGCCAGCGATGACATCACCAGAGTGAGTATAGAACTTCATATTATAATGTTTGTATTGTGTTCATGGGGGCTGACAAATTATCGACTCATTAATAAGGAAGCATCAAACAAACCATATTTATTCCCCGATCTTTTGAATAGTTTAACAATGGAAGCTTCTTAAGCTCAACCCATGACCGAGAGCAGCTCACAAAATCATGCGGGTTATGTCACTTAAATTCAAATGTTTTTTTATGGAAAATTTTACTTCTCAAGCCAATTTATTTTTTTTTTTTCATCCTAAATTTTTTTCCGAATCGCGGAGAAAAAGTATTCTAATATTATTACCACCTAAATAGAATACATTTTGAATCTCAAATTTTATACATCACTTATTTTGAACTTCATTTATGGCTGAAAAAAAATTCATTAATTTTAGCTAAAAGATCAAATTTCTCCTTGAAAGTTCAAGTTCTACTTGCACCATTCGCAAGTAGAATAAGTATCGCCCTGGTTTAACCTCAAGTGTTTCATCCATGCAGACAAAGCGCGGTGTGCTCGGTGGAGGAGGCGGTTATGGAGGTGGAGGTGGCGGATATGGTGGAGGTGGAGGTGGCGGATATGGTGGAGGTGCAGGTGGCGGTGGAGGAGGAAGCTACGTCATCGTTGGCGCTGGTGGCGGAGGAGGAGGACACGGCCCAAGCGGCGGTGCCATCGCCAACCAGGCCGCGGCCAACGCCGTAGCTGCGGCCGCCGGCCAAAAGGGCGCAGCTCAAGCAGCTGCAGCTGGAGCGGCCGCCTCTGCAGCAGCCATTGCATCTGCAGCCTCGCAGACAGCGCAGGCTGCTGCCGCCCACAAGCAGGCCATGGCTGCCCAGATCACCCAGGCAGCACAAGGCGCCCAAGCCGCGGCCTTCGCCGAGGGATCCTTGGCAGGCAAGGCCAACATCGCCCAGCAGGCTGCCAAGAACACCGCCAGCCTGGCTGCTGGACTCGCCAACACCCTCAGCCAACTGGCTGGTGAGGCAAATGGCGTGGCTGCGCAGTCTGGTAACAGCTTCGCCGCCATTCAAGGTGTGCTGGACGCCCAACAGGCTGCCGCCTCTGCAGCAGCCATTGCATCTGCAGCCTCGCAGACAGCGCAGGCTGCTGCCGCCCACAAGCAGGCCATGGCTGCCCAGATCACCCAGGCGGCACAAGGCGCCCAAGCCGCGGCATTCGCCGAGGGATCCTTGGCAGGCAAGGCCAACATCGCCCAGCAGGCTGCCAAGAACACCGCCAGCCTGGCTGCTGGACTCGCCAATACCCTCAGCCAACTGGCTGGTGAGGCAAATGGCGTGGCTGCGCAGTCTGGTAACAGCTTCGCCGCCATTCAAGGTGTGCTGGACGCCCAACAGGCGATGGCTTGGCAGGCACAGCAGGCAGCCAACTCGCTCAACCAGCAACAGACCGTCTCGCTCAACGACCTGCAGTCTGCCCAGTCGGCTGCTGCACAGGCCCAGGCGGCAGCCAGCAAGGCTCTGGCTAAGGCTGGAGGCGCCGGTTACGGCACCGGTGGCGGTGGCGGTGGCGGCTATCATTGAGACGTCTTTTGGCAGACAGACGAGCTCAGCACTCATGATGATGGCGTCGGTCTTAATGCTGCTCCGAAAAAAGAGGTTACAAATCTCGACTCTGAAGAATTATCGAATGCTGTTTCCAATGACGTTATGATGAATGTTTTGTCTAATCCAGAGGCAAAGCCACTGGCTCAGAGCAGAGCCATTCCTCTAGTTAGAAGTAAACTCTTTCCTCTAATTGCATCTGTCTTGTTGACATTCATCGTATGAAATGTCTTAAAAGCAAGGTGGCTAGTTCAGCTGATTTTTTTTCGGTTGTATGCTTTCGAGAAATTGATATTTTATTTTCATAGGTCATGGTAGCAATGTTCGATAATTCATTAGTGCTCTAAGTTTCGAAGGTCTCGTGTACCGAGGCTGGTTCCTGAGAACGATGCACGACTCTGATAAGTGTTTATGTTTTTATGGTTTACTTGCACCCGATTAAGACGATTAGATTTTAATAGTGTCTAAATAAATAAATATGCTATCCCACAAAATGACTTTACTTTGATGTAAATTACCTTATTGGCCTTCTGAGAAAAGGCACCCAAAAATACGGCGAACATAGAAACTCAATTTTAACTTTCTGCTTTGATTGAGAACTAAACAATCTAACGCAAATGAAATCGAGATTACAATTTCATGATACATAAGAAGTGAATAAGATGAAGTTAATTTCCAGACACAGTTTTCTTAATGTGTACACAGACGAGGAACAACTCATCGGTGGGAGTGACGGAAAACATTTTGTGTTGCGCGCTCAGCCGTACAAAAGGTTGTATGTACAGAAACTTTTGCATTCGCCCCAGCAATGTTGTTAATGCAGCGACATCTTCTGCAGTTGGCACGAATAGAAAACTATAAATTAATATAACAGAGATCATTGCTTCGATAAAGGATATTAATGGACCATAAAATATTACGTTCTGTTAATATAAATTTGAAAAGGTACGGGGAAATGGACGATGTGAATGAGAAAACTGTAATTTAAAAAAAAAATCTTCATTTTTCAGGAGTTCAAATCAAATTGATATAAAATTTTGTGTACATCAATCGATCCGAATAATTTACCAAATCAAACAAAGTTGCTTACAAAACTTTCCGAAAATTCGGGGTTTCCCCGTAAAAACACAGCTATGATTAAGCCTATTTTCAACCAAGGAAATGTTTTTTAATACCGAAAATTTTAAACAACTTCCATTCAAACCTTTAGTCTGTAGAAGTAACACGAAGTGACTTGCAGAACCTGGCGCGCTCGAGAGCTAAATGCACTCAAATTTGCTCACAAATCCCGTCGAGTGACTTTCTTCCACGGCCAGCAATTTGATTAGGGAAAATCTTGGCGAAATGTCTGCCATTTGCCCGAATTTGGTGGCAGTCGCTCGTGTCTTCTTCTCTAGTGCGGGAATTTTCCCATACTTGTGATGAAGAACCGAGTTGTAGTTCCTATTTAGGATCATAATATCATTATTTTTAGTTAATTATCTCTTATGTATAACCCATGTTTCATGACAAATGGTCTTGCACCGCAAAATAAGATAAAGAAAGTGAGGTTGCATCACACCTAAAGATGTGTTTTCTATCAGTAAAACCACGGAATTGCAGCAGTTTGACATACCAAATCTTCTTATGGTAAAAAAACCAAGCAAGAAAATTCTATTCAATAACTTCCAAATAGTATCCAATACATTTCTAGTTCAATAAGACCCAATTAGCATTGTCATCAATGGTGAACAAATGTTTTGATAATGTTGTATTGAAGTAATTTCGTCGTTTCGTAGGACGCTAAAGGAAGCTCGGCTTCATGTCGTGTGGGGCTATGCAATTTCCGATGCCCTTTAGGGGGCGTAAAGCCCTGTTTTCGTCCAGTTTGATGTGGAATTTCACAGCTCCTCTAATGGCGCAGTAGCAAGTCTAAGCCATTGCTGCAAGTTTATTTGCTGCAATTGCACGTACCTGAGCTAATTAAGGGGAAGGTTAGGGATCGCAATCCTGATTCTTGAAGAGTTAATGGTAATAAAAGACCAGTTTCCGGTATTGAAAGTTTCTGTGCTTGGCAGTTCATGTTCTATTGCTCAAAATTATAGCGCTGTGTGGGTAAATTATTGCATTATTTTAACAGACCATGCATCCCTCTAAATATGAAGTTATGTGGAGAAATATCCATCATCCTTATTCAAGTGTGTGATTTCATATCTTTCGTCAAAACATTAGTACGTATATTTGGTCAATGCAGACGCTGCTTCCTTCCTGGTTTACGACATTCATGGCTAGGCAACGAAGCCAAAATTTCAAAATTTTAAGGCGCACACCAAAGAAATCAGGTTTTAAGCTTTAAATTGTTTCACTAAAATCACTGAAAGAAATCACTGCCAAGAAAATTGTATTTAATTTTTTTTAAATCAATCATAAGTTAAAGAATTTCAAAATTCTGATACTAGTTCCCGATAAATTACTGAAATATATTATATTCGTCGGAAAATAACTGAGGTCCCAAAATTCGTGAAGCTTGCCGTGAATTATTTAAAGCACATGAAATATTCACTTGGTCGTTGGCAGAGTAAGAAATTATTTTGGGCTCCAACAAGTGTGTTTGGGGAGCGCAGCGTTAACGTGTTTGGAAAGCCACAAAAGGTACGTCGTAAGAGCTTAGCTTCGCCAGCAAGCAGCCTCTTAAGTTTCATTATCGACGTAAAGTGCGTTAGTGATGAAGGAGTCCAGGCTTACGGTTAAGCCCTCGTGTGAGATGTTACGATGCTTTCAAATGACCCGCTGTAGCGCCGGCCTGGTCCCTAATTTGACCCGCGACTGACACTTATGTGTCTCACGATCCGAAAACCTGGACCCTGCCGGTCAAGTGCAGGCTCTAATATTGTACATGATGGTATGAGTTGCCATACAAAGCATGCAAGCTTATTGTAGGAACTGAGAATTCTAGGTTGATGTTTCCTGGGATCAAGAAACCACAAACCATAAGAAAATTTCTCGATAAGACAAACCCAGCACGCGTGCTCAAAACGAGAGGTGGAAATGAAGAGAGCTTACACCAAAAACCTTTCCGTATTCTTTGAACAGTAATAATGATCGCGGGGATGGAATGAACAATTAGTTATTATCAGTAAATAGTGAGTAATCAACTGATTTTTATCAGTCGAGATTATTATAGTGTAGCAAGTAAGTACACATTAGTTATTCACTCATGTAAGAAGTACATATGTATGGATTCCCAAACTGCACAATTTTGAGACAAGTAGAGCTTTGTTTTCTTCCATTTGACAAACGCTGAACTTTAAAGAAAACAATTTCAAAGGAAAAAGTTCAAAATTGTTTTTTATATTGACAATATTTTGATAAATCGACCTTCAATACCGTAATGAAATCAAAAATTGCAAATTTAAAAACTTTACATTTTTTTGGACATAATAGTTCGAGTCTACATGTTTGACGCGGACCTAAACAATACAAATTCGGGAACCGTGGTTCCAGATTTATTAAAGACGTGACGTGCAGTATTGATAGCGTTAATTTTTCGGTTGCGAGAACGTCTGTCATCGTCATGACGACATACGTTCTTCAACCATTTTTCTAATTACAGTAACTTTAATTACCGGCATCTAGATACGAATAGCATTGATCACGTTTAATATCTCCACAGATAAAGGGTTAAATTTTCAACACTGAATTTGACTAATTATAATATTACTTATAATACTAATTACTTGCAACTCATAGCAATCATCATACAACAACCTACCAGACATAGCAATCATCATTCAACAAACTCCCAAACATAGCCATCATTATTCAACAACCTTCCAGACATAGCCATCACCATTCAACAACCTCCCAGACATAGCCATCACCATTCAACAACCTCCCAGACATAGCCATCACCATTCAACAATCTCCCAGACATTGACAACATAATTCAACAATCTCCCAGACATAGCCATCACCATTCAACAACCTCCCAAACATAGCCATCATCATTCTTCAACCTCCCAAACATAGCCATCATCATTCTTCAACCTCCCAACATAGTCATCATCATTCAACAACCTCTCTGACAAAGCCATCATCATTCAACAACCTCTCAGACAAAGCCATCATCATTCTTCAACCTCCCAAATCTATAAAAAATTTTAAACCTCCCTGGCCTCGCAATGAATTCCTCCTTTTTGGCAGGGATTGTCGTACATGACTGATTTTTTTGCTTCTTCTTTACTTATTATCACCGGATTTTGTTCAATTTTCACGCTAATTTATGAAGATTATTTTGAAATGACATAGTCAAAGCAGGGTTTGATTAAATAATTTAGGCAGGCCACGGTTGCACTTTGTAGTGCGTAATGAGAAACTGCTAACAACATTCATTTTTTCATCAGGAGAAAAGTTTGTTTTTTTTCATCAGGAGAAAGGTTTGTTTCTAAAATTTATCTCCGTTGCAATTCACTTTCGATTAGAGCCAACAGAATTGCAGCTCATATAAACCCAAGAAAACGTGGTCAATGGCCAGAAACAAAAACTTGCAGTTGTTCCGTTCGGCATTCGCGCTCCGTGCGCTAGCAGAGACGAGAGCCAAGCAATCTGATTCGAACTTGATCAAGTAAATCAGCTCGCGGAAGCCATCAGCTGCCCTAAATTTGGTCAGGATCGAGTCGGTGCGAGACTCTGATGGCGCGCTGACCAGACAAGAAAGCGCGTCAGCGCTGCCTTGCAATGGCCTTAACGATGTCTGCTCGTCCGTCCAAATACCGACGTCTTCCTGAACACCGGAAAAGAATGGGCCGCTCTCTTCTTGCTGTACAAAACACGACTGATTTGAACTCACATATATTTCTCTGAGCCTCAAACAAAAGTAAAATGATTTGAGGTTTCTTCGGGATTGTTTTTTTTTTTCGAGTGATTCTGCTGAATTCATTGAACAAATAGGGTTGAAATATTCCTAAAAGTGAAAATTGGCCCATTAGTATATTGTTTGTCTGGCTCATGTTCTCAAATTTGCGGATCATGCAAGCGACAATAAATTCTGACGTATATTCATCGCTGACGAAATTTCCTTTCACCAGAAGGTCTTAGAAATCTTTGCGATGCAGACCGCAAGTTTCTTTTGAACGCGACCGAGGTCCGGTTTGATCCATTTAAATCACGCGCTGATTGTTCTAGTTTCCGTGCAATGGCCAAAGCAGCAGCTCATCACAATGCCTGGGGCGCTCCAGCTAACTTTGGGCTACAATTGTCGGCTCTTCATCCTTGACTGACTCCTTCCCCGCCGTCTGACTGCTTGAGCTCATTTCTCTCGGTGGAGACTTCAGGCTACTCCGGCTCACTAGCATCCGGACCAACGGAAATGTAGACACACAAACACCTCACGACACACAAACCACATCACGACACACGAACCACCTCACGACACACGAACCACCACACGACACAAGAACCCCCTCACGACACACGAACCACCTCACGACACACGAACCACCATGCAACGGAGGTC